GAAATGGCTTGTTGAGTCACTCCCAATGATCGTGCCAATTCTTCTTGATTTTGACACGAGTCTTGATCAAGTAATGCCTCCAATTCTGCATCTTTGAAAACTTTCTCTCTCCCACCGCTATGCCGGTCTTCGACGTCAAAATCTTCGTTCTTGAAGAGTTAAAACCACTCACGACACGTTCTTTCACTAATAGCAGCCTCACCATAAGCATTTAAGAGCATTCGATGAGCCTCAGCCGCAGATTTCTTCATATTGAAGCAGAAAATTAAAACTCCCGCAAATGACGAGAATTTGGCTCGTAAACTGACATATTCAATCGAGAATAACTTTATGAACGCAAATAGACTAATGTTTCTATGGGGTTATGTTGACAAATGCCTAAGTTTATTGTATGACGTCTATGATCTATTTATTTCGACCACCACTTACCGCTAAAGCCATCTATAGGAAAACGGAGGAAGCAAAGTTGTACACCTAATAGTTTGTAAGGTTGTAGGCACCGTTGATAAAAAAAATTAATTAAAAAATAAATTTAAAAAGATTCTACATTGCTATTTTTTCTAATTTTGTTTTAATAATTTAACATTAAGAAACGTTTTTTTTACGTTAAAAGAATGTTTCTTCAAACGTTAAAATAAACGTTTTTTTAATCAAAAAAGGTGACTTAACCCATTATTTTTAAAAACATTGTCTGCTGATTGGGTCAACGTCTGCTGGTGCTCTATAATTCATCTATAGTTGTTCATTTAACGTCGTTTGATACCCTAGACAAGCTTTGTGAAACATCTACAATTGATCCATATAACGTCTATTAGACATTTTTTAATACATGTAATGGAGGTCTTATCGACATATGAAATGCGGAACTCTAGATTTCTAGTGGACGTCCACTGGAAGTTTCGCGGACGTCTAATGGAAGTTTCGAATCTCCATGATGGATGTTTAATGGACGTCTAATAGATATTTTTGTTCTGTATAGGGAGCATATAGACTGATAGCGTTTTTGGCTCGGCCAGGGTAGCGATCATGTAACTTTTCCCTAGGGCGGAATCGTGAAAAGTGAAAACTTTCACGTGAACTGAGCGATCATGTAACTTTCAAACTACGGAAACGTGAAAGTTTTCGCGTGAACTTTTTAGCCATGAAATTGGTGAGCGGAAAGGTGGAAATATGGGGAATTATGATGCAGTGATCCAGTAATACCTACATCGTTGAGTTGGAAAACCAAACAAGGACAAATAAGAAGAAGAAGAATACCTATATCGTCTTATATACATATATGTGTGTATTATATGAATTATTTTAATAAGTGAGCAAGCATTTGATATTTAAAAATAATAAAAACTATATCAAATTTGGTAATTATTCAGAATACCTCCCTCACCTCCGATTTCGATAAAATTAGGCTCATTCGACGCGTTTTTGCATGAAACGAAAGAATTTGGCAGAAAAAAGTGTCCCTCTGCCTCGCGAACCGAGATATT